CTATATCTAGCTCCTTTCCTATATAAATTATGAGGATTTCGCAATCGAATGCATGAATTCTTAATTGTTGGTGCGTGGCTGTCAAGTCATGTCTGGCTTATGGTGACCCCATGAATGAATGTCCTCCAAAATGTCTTGTCCTTGACAGACCTGCTCTTGTAAATTCAAGTCTATGACTTTCTTTACTGAATCAATCCATCTCATAATTGGTCTCATTCTGCTGCGGCTGCTGCTGCTTTCAACTTTCCCTAGCATGATTGTCTTCTCCAAGAGATTTGCCTTTTCATGAGCTGTCCCCAGTAGAACTACCTCAGTTTCATCATTTTTGCTTCCAGGTAAAGTTCTGCCTCGATTTGTTATAGGGCAAATTTGTTCATTTTCTGTTCAGTCCACAGTATTCACAAAGCTCTCCTCCAGCCACATGTTTCAAATGCATCACTTTTCTTCCTGGCAGCTTTCTTTGCTGTCCAAATTTCATACCCATAAATAGTGATTGGGAATACAATTGTGTGACTATTTCTGGCCTTAGTCTCCAGTGAAACATCCTTACACTTGATTATCCTTTCTAGTTCCTCCATTGCTGCCCTTTGTAGTCTCCATATTCTTCTAATTTCTTGGCTGTGGTGTCCATTTCAATTGAAGACTGAGCCAATGTATGCAAAATCTTTCACAATTTAAATTTCTCAATGTTGACTGTAAAGTTCTGTGTTTGTGATTTCTTTCCTTAATGTTCAGATGCAATCCTGATTTTGCACTTTCTTCTTTCATCAGGAGCCTTTTCAATTTATTGCTGCTTTCTGCCAGTAATACAGCATTGTCTGCATTAGATTATAGATGTATCTTCTGCCAATTTTCAGTCTTTTTCCTCTGAACTTAATCCAGCTTTCCTTATGACATATTCTGCATGCTGATTGAACAGATACAGACATAACACGCACCCTTGTCTGATGCCTGTGCCCACAGGAAACCATTCTATTTCTCCATGTTCTGTCCTAACAGATTCTTGCCTGCAATACAGATTATGCATCAGGACAATCAAGTGTTGAGGTACACCCATTTCCTTCTGGGTCATCCACAGTGTCTTGCGATCAAACACTTTGCTGAACTCTATAAAGCACGGGCTGATCTTTTTCTGAAATTCTCTGGTGTGCTCCAGTAGCCAATGTATATTTCTGATATGACCTTGGGTACTCTTCTTTTTCAGATGTTAGCTTGTACATCATGCATTTCTCACTTCTATAGGGTAATATTTTTTGTTTGCAACACTTAGAGCTTCACTTTGCTTTCTTGGAAAATTAGTGCAATGGTTTTGCAGTTGCTGCACTCTTTCCTTTCTTCGTGCTGGAATGCCAGTGAGCCAGTGTGGTGTAGTGGTGAAGAGCATGGGACTGGGACTCAGAGAATCTGGGTTCTAGTCGCCGCTCAGCCATGGAGCCAACTGGGTGACTTTGGGCCAGTCACAGACTCTCAGCCCAACCTACCTCACAGGGTTGTTGTTGTTGTTGTGGCAATAAGATGGAGGAGGAGAATGATGTAAGCTGCCTTGAGCCCTTTTTAGGAAAAAGGCAGGATGTAAATCACTAAATAAACAAATGAATAAATATTGAGCATTTCCCGTCTTTGGGCTGTTGTTTTGTTTCCCATATTTGTGCCAGGATTGGACCGATTCTGTCTGTGCAGTTTGGAATAGTTCTACTGGTGTCCTGTCTACTCCAGGTGCTTTGTTCCTTCCAAGTGCTTCACTTCCTAACACTGCAGGTTCTTCCTCATAGTATTTTTCTTCAAAATAGACTCATTTTTATCTCTTCTGTTTAGTTTTCTATATATTGTTTCTATCTTCTCTTTATTTGATCCTGGTCAAATAGTATGTTCCCTGTTTGTCTTGCAACATTCCTAATCCAGCTTTGAATTTCCCTTTGATTTCCTGGATTTTTTGGATGAGGTGTCCTGCTTTTCCTCTTTTATTCATGTATATTTCTTTGCACTACTCTTGGCAATAGTTCTTTTTATCTCTATATGTAGTCACTGAAAAGTTGCTTTCAAGATTCTGACACTATTTCTGTCACCTTTTGCTTTTGCTTCTTGCTTGTCCTTAGCAATTGTGCATATTTCTTCAGTCAACCATCTAGGCTTTTTCTTTCTGTCCTACTTGATTTTCAATAGTGCTCAGCAAGATATCTTTGGAAACTCTATGGGTCACTATCCATATACAGATATTTTTAATCTCTACCTCCTGAGGTTCTTTAAGCTTCCATTGCTAATAAACCTTCTGTATATAACCCTCAAGACATAACCCCTGTATATTTTAATTCCTTTTAAAGTCATTTACAGCACAACCCTGTACAGGTCTACTTAGAAGTAAAACCCACTGATTCCAGTAGGACTTCCTCCCTGGGGAGTATATATGGGCTTGCATCATTGCACATTTTGCCAGACTTTCCACAAGTCAATTCTGCATTCCATATGGTACATGGTTAAGTGAGGCCTGAACCAAAGTGTTCACTGCACAGCGCTTCCTATTAATGTTTCCAGCCTCCCCATGTCATTCCCTCTTCCCCGCAGTCCCTGTCCCAAAGAGTCCATGTTCCATGACCGCTACCCATGTTCAGTCTTTTCTGGAACAGCTTGTCCTCTGCTTTAGAGGTCATCCCCACTCCCGCAAGATTGCTTGCACTTCTGCATGTTGTGGGTCTCCAAAGCCGCCTTTCGCACGGCTGGTAATCTTTTAGCATCATAAGTAACAGCACTCACAACCTGAACATCCCATTATAGAGCAAATAATGATGTGACTGATTGCCCTGGTTCTTAACAAGGTTCCCAGCAAGAAGAATAAAGGAAGGATATAAATTGAATAATAAAGAAATAAACACCCCCATTTTATTATTTATTTATTTATTAAAACATTTTTATGCCGCCCCATTCGCCGAAGCCTTGGGGCGGCTTACAACGTTAAGTTAAAAAAAATAATTATAACATTAAATTAAAAAATACAAACATTAAGTTAAAAATGCAAAAATACCAATATAAAATAAGCCACCCTGGCCAGATAAAATCCAATAATATTAACAGTTAAAATGCCACTTAAATAAGAAGGTCTTCGCCTGGCGCCGAAAAACAAATAACGACGGTGCCAGGCGGACCTCTCTGGGGAGCGCATTCCATAACTTAGGTGCCACCGCAGAGAAAGCCCTCCTCCGAGTACCCACCCTCCTAATTTCTTTCACGGAGGGTTCCCGGAGAAGGGCCTCTCCTGCTGATCTCAAGGGGCGGGCGGGCATATATAGATGTAAGCGCTCCTTCAGGCTCCCATCACCTGCTTAACTCACAATAGAGTAAGGAACAGTTCAAACATGCAAGACCTTTCCATTTCCAGAAGAAACTGAATGGAAACTAACACAAAGTGCATAAAGTAACTTCTCCTTTCCAGGGTCTTGCAAGCCAACTTTCTAAGTGAAATTTGAAATGGTGATCATTCAAGTAGCCACTCAGCTTACATGGGACGTTCAGTTTGTTTCCAAAAGGTCCTTTCTCCAATGGAAACCTGAAAAATAATATTTTGCCTGTCATGTGTAAAATGCAGGTGGAGCCTTAGTTATGCTTTTGCTATTATGCTTTCCTCCCCCTCTTCCCAGAACAGGACAATTTCCTCCAGCTAATCATATGTTTTTCTTCTCCTCTGTGAATTCACTGCCCCCTATTGCCAAGAGGAATGAACACATCAAATCTGTTGATTCTGGAGGAAACGGGTAGGAATATCGGTTTAGGAGGGCCTGTAACTGTTGAATTGCCAAGTGAAATATTATCTGACTTGGAGATGCTGTCATTGTGAAAGAACTGGTAATAAATCTAGCCATTTTTGTTAATGGAAACAGCCCCTGTGGCATGAAAGAAGTTTTCATTAGAAACATCATGGGCATTTCACTGATGTTTTTTGATATAATTTCATGAGAGCAACTTGTATTTGTTAAGGGAAAAAGTAAATAACTAGATTTGGGTTGTGTTGATGCTGAAGAGTCCTCTCCTATCACCACCACTTCGGAGGTTTCCCCTTAAAGATTGTACAACAGCAAATTCTGGAGTTTCAAGAAGTGTATTAATACCTCCCTCTTGTGTATTTATGTTTTGCAATAGTGCTTACCTCCATACATGCACTGGAGGGAGATATGATGGA